AGTGCATTAGTATTAGATAGGACTGTCAATTTCAAAGAAGTGTGCATTACGCGATTCGGGAGTGGAAAATAGAAACAGTAGATGTTTCTGAATTGAGCCGACACAGGGCTCCAAATAAAAAGATGCAATATGAGTAGGGATGAGAAAAAGGATAACTGGGTGATGAGTCCGAAGACTAAAAAGAAGATGCCTATGTATGGGCATCCCCGGCTGTAAATCCTCGAATATGATGTAAACAGAGAATTGAAGGAACATAGGCAGCCAGACAATGATTTAAGCGTGTAGCAGCGACCAATGGACAATTTTTTCCTTGCTTATTTAAATTTAGTGTGATGTGCCCTTTTGAGCGGCTTTCATGTGAACCCTCCACACTCGACACTGATGTACTCACCCCTCATTTAACCTTGTGCTGGGAATATCTATAAGAGTTTGCCATATTGTTAGTAAGTCCTCCTTCCCTAGGTCTTATCAGTCTCCCTCTTGCCTCGAAGAATCCGTCTGCCACCTCCCTGATCCAAGTATTTCACTCGACCCCTGCCACCCCATATATGCTAATCGAGGCGTTATAACATGTCCCCTGCGTCTGGGTCACTAATTCGAGGCTTAAGCCTCTGAGTAAGCCTCATGGTCAGGCCTTTGCCACATGGACCACGTCTCTTATAAAACCTACTGTCAGCACACTGGCTCCAATCGCCGCCGTGTCTATCCCGTTTCTATCCCTAATACCAATTCTATAACTTCCAATGCCCTAGTCTCTTGTGTGCCAACACACAAATGTTGTGGTACTGCTTGCTTTAATTAGGTTCAATGTTGAGCCACAACGTTTGCGGGTTAACACAGGAAAGACTAGGGCATGGCAAGTTATAGACTTGGTATTAGGGATAAACAGGATAGACGCGGCGGCGATGGTAGATAGTGGACTGACAGTAGCCTTTATAAGAGACGTGGTCCATTTGGCAAAGGCCTGACCATGACACTTACTGAGAGGCATTAGCCTCGAATTTGTCACCAAGACGCAGGGGAGGGAAAATAACGCCCCGAGTGGCACAAATGGGGTGGCAGAGGTCGAGTTAAATATGAAAACCACGGAGGACAGACAGATCTTACGGGGCAAGAGAGAGACTGCGTAACAATATGACATACTGATCAACATTCCCAGCACAAGGGTAAAGGTGAGAATAAAAGCGTGGAGTGTGAAGGGTTCTCATGGATGTTGCTCAAAGGAGCACAACACACTACATCCAAATAGGCACGGTAAAAAATTGTGACAGTGAAAGCGTGATAGGAGGATATAGGAAATGTGAATAGCCCAGAACAGGAGAGATACCACAACTGGTTAGCACACATTTAGCTAAAACATCGGCTTCACTTGTCTCTGAGATGTTGTAGTATGGTGTTAAGAATTGTGAGACTCACTGACGATGCCGGCGGAACGTCTAGAAATGTACCACGTCCACAGTCCGACCTTGGAAATTATTATGCATACTATGGACTGCGGAAAAAGTGTGTTCCTCTAGATCTTCCTACAATATGACAGTTGCGAAAACAATGTCAAACAACTTCTATACAAAGAAAGAAGAATGCGACAATACAAAACTCCACACCATGTTGGTCCTCATATCTACGAAAAAATAAGATTACTGAGTCAACGAATAGCTCATCCTCATTAAATAAGCCTTCCGATTGTCATTAGAGAAAATCTAAGCCAAATTAATTATAAATAAATGCATATTTTAACTAAGATAATTGTAGAAACATATGCATGTATGCTATCGGTTTGGATTTAGAATCAATAGAATGATATCAGGTAAATATTATGGCATAAAGTAAGGGTATCTATGACCCAAAAGTGATTAACAGCATATATATATATATATAATGTTATTTAACAAGTTTTTAAGAGACTAACAGAATTTTTACTCTAATAAGTATAAGCTTTTGCTTTGGAAGAATCATTGAATATAACTAGTAATAATAATTAAACAAGGGTAAGATTAATTCAGAAGTTTCCTTTTCGCAAAATAAAACAAACTGTTTTCTTTTATTACCTTCTGGACGAAATCCGGGTCTGTACTTAACCTTTTCTTTGTATGTCGGGTAGCCTGCATCCATAATATAGTTTGGGAAATTGGATGAAGGGATGGAAAAGTAAAAAAGCACCGAAATATACTAATTAAAGTCTGAATTATTATCAAAATGGGCATAAATAAATAATTATATAAAGCAAAGAAACTCTAAATTAAAAAATAATCGATTGATTCTGGACATCTATTTCTTTAAATAATACTGACTATTCCACAATTTAATGAAAAAATAAAGCGTTATGTCAACTGATATTGCGCCAATGAATTTGTAAAAATAAAAAAATACAAGGCTTGGGAAGGAAGTTCAAAGCTAAATAAATTTGGTATCAGGTATCCGTTTGTTTAAATGAACTTTGATTCTAAAAATTTAAAATTAAAAAAGTGACGTATGAGAAGTAAAAAAAACGAACTTCAGTTATGTAAAGGTTGAATGATTCCGCGTTGTTGGACTTTTATTTCGTTTAAAAAATAGGGTAAAACCCTCATAAATTGGATTCGCCAAGTACTAAAATTTTGCCATAAGATTATCATCTCGCCGCCTGTAAAGATGGGCAGGTAACTGAAGAGATTGAATCTTAAAACATGAATAAAAAACAAAATTTTCGGACCTTCTAACTGGATCAGGTTGTTATAAGGGCTTTTTCCCACTTAGTAACATTTATTTGTATCCATTTATAAGAAGCTATCTGAGCAGAAAATCGTCTGAGAAGCTGAGTCTGCGAAATCAGAAGTAGCTAAACATGAGACACCAGATATCAATATAAAACCCAAAGTTTTACAGACTTCAAAGCTAGGCAAAAGATCAGGATGTCAGTAGAAATAAGTAAAAAACAGAA